AAGAGAGGACTCCCTGGAAAAGACCCTGATGTTGGGAAAGTGTGAAGGCAAGAGGAGAAGGGGACGACAGAGGACAGTGTCATCGAAGCTACCAACATGGGTTTGGGCAAACTCCAGGAGGTGGTGGAAGACAGGAGGGCCTGGTGTGCTCTTTCCCATGTGGTCACGAAGAGTCGGACACGACTTAACAACAAAACAACAACATGCACAGTAGTCATTGAAATCAACTTATGCCCAACATGCATGCACAACTCCCCCAAAAAGGCTCCACATAAGCAGTGGAACACAGCTATTTATAAGAAGCTGTGAAGTACAGTGGGGTCTTGACTTAAGAATGGCTCGAGTTACGAACATTTTGACTTAAGAACCGCTCTCACAGGAAAATATTGACTTGACTTACGTACTTAGATTTGAGTTAAGAACTGAAAAAAACCCACGTGGGAGGCAGGGAAAGGGCAAAATGTGAACTTTCAGTTAACTGTTGGCCAGTGAAAAGGGTGCCTGTCTGCTTCCTCACTCCTCCCAGCGTTTAGAGAGTGGATTGGGAGACAGTCTTCGGACTGCCTGGTACTGCCTGGACTGTATTTTCCTTGCCTTCCCTGAACCTTTCTTGACCTAATTTAATTAATCAGCAACAATTACCTTACTGTTTACTGATTGTAGTTGTCACTTTAACATGTTTTAATAGTTTTAAAGGATTGTTTCATCTCATGCTGTAAGAATTTAATTAACAAATTACTCAGGTTTTCTGCAATACTTTAATATTGACTAATCACAATTTTCCCCCTGGCAGTTGTTGTGCAAATAAGTAACCCTTTTGAACTTTCTATGTGAAGGAGGTCTTAACAACATGCGTTTAAGCTCTAGAAGATTCCGAGGTTCTCTGTGCAAGCACACTAAAACCCATTAGTGTACATCCGCAGAGACTATGAAGAAGAACTGACACGGGCTGGACACGATGATCCATAAAGTCCCTTCCACCTCTGCATTTCAAGATTATTATTATAAACTATACACAGTAGTAATAATTGTTACACTTGCAATCCTATGTCCATTTACTTAAGGATAAATTCCTAGGTGTGGGACTTTCTTCTAAATAAACACAAATAAGATTTCAGGTTTGTCTTTCCACAGTTGGTTTATTTTCAAAATGAGAATTTAACAAGTGATTTGAGGCTAGAGTGACTCTTTTACCTTCAGCCTATAATTAGACCTGGCCAAATTTTAATTAGACAAATACAGCAGCCTCTCCCTTTTTCTATCTCTTCACCATGGAATGGCCAGAGTGTTGCCCCTGGAAAGGCAGAAAAATGAAAGTATATACACTGTTCCACTGTTTATTCTGGTTGCAAGAGAGCTGTTGTCTAACAAACTGCCAGGGAGTTGCTTCAGCCCAGACCCGAAAGTTACTAGCCCTATAACTGGACCAAAATGGTCCAACTTGGGCACTACCTGAGGTTGGGATGGAGCATATTTCTCTGTATGTTGTATGATCACTGGGAAATAAATCACATCAGACTGCTTCACAAGCAATCCAAATCCAAATCTATTTCCCCATATGTTCACTCCCAAAGATTTAGAAGACTTTGGTTCAAATTCTGCTTGGACATGGAAATTCACTTTGAGGCAGTACAGGTAAAACTGCTCCTTAAAATATTTCACATACCTTGAAAACCCTATTAAGGTCACCATAATTAAAAGCACATAAAACAATGTCTTAACTATACTGCTTTCAAAAATCACAACCTGAGTTGCAATCTGCCACACAGGGATGGCCAGAACTTGTGAATTCAAACTTGATGAAAAAGACGTAAGGTGTCAAGAATGTGTGACGCATATACAGAGCTTTGTTAAAACCTCCTCAGCTTCTCCAGTCTCAACCACAAATGGAAGCCTATGTTTTGCCCAGTAATCCTGCCTGAGAGTACACTGGAAACCCTAGTGGAAGCAGTATCCATAAGCAGTTGAGACCTGGGGTCGTTGCAGGGGCCTCTGAAAAATTCTCTAAGGATTCAGCAAGATGGATATCTTCAAAGACAGAAAGATGTCCTAGGATGCAGCAACTGATGAAGTAAAGAAGGACAATTGCAATGCTCCAAGCCAGAATTATAACTGTCACAGCACACCCGGTGGGTGTGGTGTTCTAAAGTGAAACATCCGCAATGAATTCCATGAATCTGATTTAAAAGGTCTTTAGCACACAGCAGCCCTGAGCTGATTATGGCAGCAATCAACTTGGCAAAAGGGCAATGGGTACTAAGAATCTCTGTGTTGGGAGTGGCTGCTGAAGGAAGATGAGATTGGCGAGCGCTACATAACAAAAGGTTGATTAATAAAAATTAAAAAGAGGAGGAAGTGAAAATAATAAATTGAAACATTAGGATTTGCTGAAGTCAGCAGAGAAGAAAAACACATAATGCTGAACTCTGGAAAAGAAGGAGGAACAGCAGAAAATAATATACTGTAAGATGTGTAGGCTACCATCATATGCAATAGCAGCATGAAATACATACAGTGGTGCCTCGCTTAGCGAGGTTAATCCGTTCCGGATTAACCCTCACTCAGCGAATCCATCGGTAAGTGAAACAAAAAAGTCCATAGGAACGTATTAAAACTGATTTAATACGTTCCTATGGACTTAAAACTCACCGTTGTGCGAGTTTCCTCCATTGCGGTGGCCATTTTGGATGCCTCGTTAGCGAGGCAAAACAGCGGTCGCCATTTTGTTTTAGCGGCGGCCGTTTTGGAACCGCCGATCAGCTGTTCGCTATGCTTTGATCGCGTCCGCGCGATCATCGCATAGCGAAAAAAGCCCATAGGGGCCATCGCTGAGCGAACGCTCCAGCGATGGCCTGGGACCCTTCGTTATGCGGTTTCATCCCTACATCGGCTGGGGTTGGGTTGGATGATCTTTGTGGGACCCTCGCTCCTGTTGAGCTCCCAGGGGATTCTGCCCCATGGGGCTAACGAGGCTCTTTCCCGTTCTCTCTCCCGGCCTTTGCTCTGCCAGCTGTTCTGCCCCGATGGCGAATACAACGCCATGGCCGCCGCCTTTTTCAACACGCCCGAAAAGAGCGTCGTACGTCTCTTCCACGACCCCCCAGGTCAGTTGCCCTCTGGCTTGCCATCGGGGGTGGGGGGAGTAGGGAAGGGTTTCGCCTTCTCGGCTGGGATCAAATGGGTAGCGCCACGGTCGTGTAGATGTTCACCCTCACCGGGATCCTGCAGCCTCTTCAGCTTTTTCACTGGACAGATTTTGGAGGCTGTGACTCTTAGAAATGCAGGCTAGAACAGGCTGACGTTATAAAAGGGCCGTGGGAGGAGACGGGAAAGAGACCCGGGCTGTCGACAGGTCGTTGATCTCATTGACGACGACGGTCCCTTTTTGGATCCGGAGAGGCCGACGGTCTGGAAACCGGCCTGATCTTTATAGTCTGGGAATGGCAGGAACAGAAATGCAGACGGTGTGCAAAGAGGCACCTGCTCCGATTTCACTGGCTCTGCTGGGCCCCCCGGGGACCCAGGCCTGTCTGTCATGAGAGGGAAGGTAGAATTTTGAGGAGCACCTTTTTTTTTCAGGGGGGAGAGGACCGACCCCTTCCCAAATCCTTTTGGTTTTAGATTTGTTGAAAGGCCAAAAGGTCTCAGTGGCTTAAATACCCCTGCCGCTCTTCTCGGAAAAGCTGCTGTTTTTGTGACCCTCTTCCTGTCTCCCTCCCTCCCCCACCCCCATTTGCAGGCACCTATGACCCCATGACTTTGGGGACATTCACCTTGATCTATTTCTTCCTGGCTTGCTGGACGTACGGGTTGACGGTGTCGGCTGGCGTCTTCATCCCCTCTTTGCTCATAGGAGGCGCCTGGGGGCGCCTGTTTGGCATTTTGCTCGCCTCCACTACTAGCGGCTGGGTAAGCGCACCCCTGCACTCTTGAGACCCTTCCCCTCATGGTCCAAAGGTATCTGACGGTCAATCTAGATGGTGTGCTTATCATGTTTTTGGAAGAGGTGCTCCCTTGGGTGGTGAGAAAGGTCTTGCTGTCACAGCCCATGATTCCCTTCACCCCGTGTCTTGCATTTAGCATGCTTTCTTCTGTGATTGGCTGATGGAAGATAAACATGGGCTTAGGTTGCATGTCCTGATTCCTGAGTCTGGAGGCACTGACAAAATCCTATTACGTGGGTGTCAGAGAGAAACAGCCTAATTACAAAGAATAAGCAACAACCATCAATAAGCATTCTCTATAATGACTGGTTTGACCTGGTGCTCATCAGCAGAGCTTGGAGAAATTGCCTTTGAAGACTACAATGCCCACAATTCCCCCATCCAAGATGGGAGCTATAGTATGAAAAGTAACTTTTCCAAGCTCTGCTGATCTTTCACTGATGTTCTGAATGTAAAGGAATCCTCTTTTGGGGTGGGAGGATGGCAGAGGAGAGAGAGCGCTGTCCCACTTTCCTATCCCGCCCTCCTGCCATGCAGTTTGAATACACTCACGTTCCTTGTGCTGGATTTTACAGATCTGGGCAGACCCGGGGAAATACGCCTTGATGGGAGCTGCAGCACAGCTCGGTGAGTGAGGAGGAACTTGGGCGGGGGGGGAGGCGCAGGAAGGCGGGTGTGTGTGTGTCTCTCTTCCTTTTGCAAAATCAGGCTTCAGGTGGTGGCTTGCTTACGGGAAGGAGCCCCTGCGGATCCATCATTGCAAACAGCGTTTTAGTGACTTCTGCGAAAACAGCGGAAAGCCTGGAAATGGCTCCCACATCGTGCTGCAGGTCGGGAGGAATACGGCTTAAATGCCACATGACTTGAATCTGATTCTTAAAAAGTCTAATCAGAAACCGATTCAGACTGCCAGTGTGACCACACAATTACTCCATTGTGTTGCCGGAGATGGGAATTTCACAGTGCCGATTTTATGGGGTCCTGTGTCCGTATGGATTTAAGCATTTTCTTTTCTGCCTCATTGCGTTTTCCCACTGCTTTTATTTCTTACTGTTGTGGAAGAGAGAAATAATTCCAGGGTTACTCTGTCAATTTTGTGGCTCTTGGGGGTGGCGGCGGCTAGAAACCCGGGTCTCCCCAATTGGAGTCCAACAGAAACTCTCTTTCAAGAGGGAAAGGCAGAATACTGGCCCCAATGTTGGCTAGCAATCGTCCTGGGAAAACCCAGATTTCCCAACTCCTGACGTGTCTCTTTGGGCCTAAGTCTGAAAACCGTGAAAAAGTTCTTTCCTTGCTCATTCACCTCCTCCAGAAAGAAGGTCCAAGAGACATGTCTGTATTCCATGGTCTCCGTTTCTAGAGGTTTTCTTCGGCTCCTGGAACGTGAGCCTCCAGCGGGGTCAGAGCGGATCACAGGCGGAGAGGGAAAACGTAGTTTCGTGGCACAAGGCCGGTTTTCACCCCTAACTTCCCCCTCCACCAGTTAGGGTCGGAGCCGTCCAGGATCTCAAGGACGTCCCCTCTGCAGAAGCTCAACTGGGACGAATTTTCGGCCATGTAATCAAACTGAGCTTGCACGTATTTCGCCTTCTTGGGCTGCGTAGAAAAGAGAGCGAAGGTCAAAACAGAGGATCACCTTTAGAGCGTCCATAGATGTGAGCTGCCCTTAAGAGGTAAACGACTAGTGTTGATCCTAGCATAGCTGCGCCAAACAGCTTGGCTTTGTATAGGTATATGTCAACAGGAAGTCCACAAGGGCTTCATTGGCAAGTGGGATGGTCTAGGTGTGGGAGCTTTGAAGGAATTAGTCTCTGGAGGGAAAATGTTTTATCATCTTCTAAATAAATACACGGCTGGCATCTCATCTAGTTCTTCCTTGAGGCAAAGGTTGAGAGGACATAGTAGGCTGCTCCCTAGCCAGCTGGCTTCTCCCATCTCCTCATAGGGACGGCCAAAAAGTGATCTCAGAGGGAAATGGCACTAACCACTTCTCTTTTATCCCTTTATTGCTTTCGATTCAACAGGAGTGTTGAAACAATGCCGTGCCAGGGAGGGGGCGGGTGGCGGGGAACCCTGTCTATCTCCAGCCAAAGTGAGAGGTGAAAACAGGAGGTGGAAATCCTTGATCTGGCTATCATGTTGTCTAATTCCGGGGAAGAAACTACTTTTCCCAAAGTTGGAACTTTTCCCAGGGATAGGAAGGTCCTCGCTCTTACCTCCTGCATTTCCCCATGATCTCGGAGGAAGAGCTGGCCCTTCTTCACGATGGTAGTGGTCCTGTAGAAATCCACCAGTTCGTTGATGGAGTTGAATTTCTCGTCCCAAAGGTGGTACTTCCCGTTTTTCTCTCGCAGGACCTTGAAGTGGAGCACCTGCTCTCCGGAGCTGTAAAGAGAAGGCAGAAAGGGACCCTGGATGATGCCGGATGAGGGAGGTGGCGCCAGGCCAGGGCAGAGGGTTTTCCCCGCCGCCCCCAGCAAGGATCCCATCCACGACGGCTTCAGAGCGGCTCAAGCCAGGAGGAAACGCCAGCGGCCATGACGTCGTCTGGTGCGTTGTGGCCACCCGCAACGCCGCGTGGGTACCCTTCTTTCCGAGAAAACCACAACCCCCTTTCCCCTCGACCCCTGAGCTTACGTTTGCACACATTTTATTTCATTTCCTTTTCTTTTTTGGGGGTCTGTTAATCGCAAGAGAGATTGAGCCCACCCGTTACAGTGCCGATCCGCGAAGTGGCCTATTTGGGTCTTTGCTTGTTCGGTTAGTGTTTCCGAGCGCCGTAATCCAAAAAAGAAAGAAACAAAGAGGAGCTTTGCCCGTTTCTGCCCTGCGTGCATATGGTGTGCTTCCTAAGAGGCTGCTATATCTCCATGCTACAAATATTTAAGGCCTCCCTGCTCATATGTGGCGCCGTCTTCTGGCGTCTGATGCATTGTGACGCCTCTTTGCTTAGAATGAAACCCATGGAGTGTTTCAGGGTTTATTCCCTAGTAAATGGATGATTTGCAGCTTCCAGAGGGTAAATTAGGACCTTTCGGACCTTCATCTTGGACAAAGTTCCTTTTTCCAGGTTGGGGTTGGGGTGAGAGGAACTACAGTTCCCAGAATCCCCCAGAATCCAGCTTGAGGCTCTTTGGGATGAATTCTGGGGAAAATGGACTTTTTCTTCCCAACTGTATCATGAACACATCAATAGGCACTGGAATCTCTCTTCCATTTTAGAAATGTGCTTATTCCTTAACCTTGCTTTGCTTCGGGAAGCCTAGTACAGTGGGAAGGTGTCATTGGCCTGCAGTTAATGTCATTATACGTCTGGGCGTCTCGAAACCCTTTGCTCATCTGTTCCCACTGGCCCAGACCCCTAGAAAAAAATAAAAGATTCCAGCGTTACCTTTTAGATACCTGTGTCCTAAGATAAACTTTTTTTAAAAAACATGTACCGTACATCCTGGCCTTTGCCGAAGGGTTGAGGCAGGTTTTATTTCGAAGTTACCAGCAAAACTTGACTGCAACATTCACATTAAAATATAATTAAGGTCTCTCTCTCTCTCTCTTCGCCCAGGTTTGCCATAATCTGTCAGCCACGGACGTCAGCCGAAGGAAAGAGGTAAAAGGGCCAGCAGAAGAACAACTTTCTGCAAAGGGGTGCGGTTTTCCCTCCCAGACTGCCAGGCCTCAGGTGGTGGCTTGCTTACGGGAAGGAGCCCCTGCAGATCCATCATTGCAAGCAGCGTTTTAATGACTTTTGGGAAAACGGTGGAAAGCCTGGAAATGGCTCCCACATCGCGCTACAGGTCGGGAGGAATACGGGAGGCCAAGGTACGAAACGTCCTGTTCCAAGATCTTGAAGCACTAAGGAGTTCTCCTTTCCTTGGCGTCTGTCTGAACCTCAAGGACACTAAGGAGTAATCCTTCCTAGCGAGAGTGGGACCCCCTTTATCCACGGGATCAGTATCCGCTGATTCACTTATCCATGGTCTGAAAATATTAAAAGAAAAATCCTAGGAAAATAGATATATTTTTAAAGGGGAAGTTGCCAGAACTGGCCACTAGAAGGCGCCAGAGGCTATACTGTGTGTATAGCCTTTGCTATTAGAATAGAGTTCACTATAATCTCTGTTTTTCAGCATCTGTGGAGGTGGGGGGAATTGGAACTCATATCCTGTGGATGTGGGGGGGTCCTGCTCTATTCGCGTGTGGATTATGTACCATTAAAGCCTAGGATGAGATGTTAAGGAGAGGTTTATCATTGCTGTATAAGCCCAATGATTTTCCATTTTGGAAAACCAGGATTTGAACCCAGATCTTCCGAGCTCTGGTCTGACAGCTCTACCTGCCACATCAGGCTGCCTCTTCTAGACTCGAGATACCCGGCGATTACAAAGGCTGCCAAACTGTCCTATCGCCCGATGGCTTTTCAAAAGCGGCGAGTTGCGGCCAACGAGAACAGGCGGCAGAAGAGGATTAGCTGAGCTGAGCGGGTGTTGATGAGATGCCTCCTCCACTCCGTTCCTTGCCCTGCGGAGAGAAACAACGCCCTGGGATCTGAAGTTCTCGTAAACCGAAATTGATTGTCTTGACGGATGACGAAGGGAGCAGCTTCCAAACCTTTCTCATCCTGCAGGAATGATCCCTCTCTCCCTTTTAACAGCCTTACCTAAGTGGAGGGGAGAGGATATAGCGTGGAGGCGAGAAGGGGTGATGTGAGGACGGTGCCATGGTGCCATGGGCGTGGGCTGCTGACCCCAAACAGGCCTGCTTGTTTCGGGGGTGGCTGAGAAGCCTCAGGGACTCCCCCTTGATAAATCTGGAAAGGGTCAGGCCGTGCGCTGGGAAACAAGAGGCACAAGCCGAGAGAGAAGCAAAGGCCTGCCAGCGCGGGTGGCAGAAAGCCGGGCGGAACCTGCCGGTTGTAGCAAAAGGCACAACCTGCCACGAAGGGGATGGTTTGTCAGCAGGAAACCAGATGGACACTGAGCCCAGATGGAAAGCGTCATCCCAAGGCTGCTTTTGACTCTGGAGTAAAGGCAGCCAGGCGAAGCATGCTTCTCCAAAGACATGACAAAGAGCCTGAAGAACTCTTTGGAACAGGTCATCAAGAATGGGGACCCCTCTAAGAGGGGGACACGGCCCGTATGGCCCGGCAGAAGGCTTCCTCACCTCTCCACATTGCAAACCTGCTTCCTTTTCTTTTGGGGATTAGTAATCAGGAAGCAAGCATGGGCTTCACTGGCACGTTGGCCTGCTCAGGCATGGAGCTTTGAAGGAATTACATCCCTGGAGGGAAAAACATTATATTGGGTCCGGAAAAAGAATACTTGAGTGCAGAATGCTGACTTTACTAACAGCGAAGATTTATGCTCTATGTTGCCTCCCGTGTCACAAGTGTCTTGGTTTCTGATGAAGTGCCCCCCACAACTCTGCATCTTAGTGAACCTGCTTTAGATGGTCTCCTTTTTGCCAGTCGGAGGCTCAACCCACCTCAAGCTGAGTCCCTCAAGTTCAGGTGGTGACATGGAGGGGAGTCCAGTCCTCATCCCATCTTTCTTCATTGAGCCGGACTCGTCTTACAGGTGAAACCTGTGTGCGTTTTGGTCCATGCACCTTTAAGGAGCGACCTCTCTTCACCTTTGTCCGAGGTAAACCCACGTGTGTTTACAGGCACATGGAATCTAGTGTGATGATGGCTGGAGGGCAAGATAAAGCCTCTCCCTCTGGGCCACCCCAAGCAGCTAAAATTCATCATGACAAGGTGGATTCTTAAAAATGCACGTCCCTCCTTCTGCCTTGCAAGACACACACATCTTTCAAATTCTAGTTGTTAATTTTTTTTTCCCAACAGCACTGAAGGCTGACAAGGACTCAGAACGGTCGCTAGCATTTCTGCAGGTGGAGCATTCATTGCAGCACTCCTTTTCTTGCAACCAGAAAGCTAGCAGTGCAGGGAGGGTGGCTGGCTAGCACCCGTTCTCCTTGACATGCTAGCTTTCTCCGTACAAGGGGCATCAAAGACTGTGAAACGTTCTCTGGCTGCAAGAGCGAAAGACAAGACGGCTTAAAAGTTGAAGAAACAGAGATGCTCCTTTGGTCATTCCATCCGGCGGGATCTCAGAGCTAAAGAAGTTTCCCTCTTTTGAACAATCAGCAGGGCTTCTCCGAAGGGTTCACGCATTTTCCCCTACTCTGCTGCTTTCGGCCGTTGACGAATTGAAAACCTGAAAGAGCACCGCTTCTATTTGCTGGGGCCAAAAATGGTCCCCATCTGTGCAGAACTCTTCTACCGTAAGTCATCAGCTTGGAAAAGTTGCTTTTCTCACAGACCACGTCCTGGAAAACTGCAGCCAAGTGAGTTAGTCAAAGTTATTAAAACATCAAATCACATGAAATGGCAATCTGCACACTGCAGGTGGCCTCGGTGTCCATGCCGAGGACTGGACGTCCATGCGTGATGGGGATCGCAGGCTTCTCTTCCAAACTGCACTCCCTCCTACACAGAGATTTCATGTCTTACAGAATTCTGGATTAAAACGCATGCTAAGCTACATCAAGAGCACGCCTTTAAAAAAAGCATATTGTCATTCTTACGCTTAAGCAAGCATGTTGAGGCCTAGACGAGATCAGGACCGACATATAAACGTTGCAAAGAGAACGGTGTTCTTTCCAAATGCTGCAGTGGCCGCGCCATGCAGTTCATCGTGTGTGTTAGCTTCTCTTTCGAACTCTCAATCAACGTCGGTGGTTCAGCTTCGAAGTGGCGATAACCGTGTTTGCCCCAAGCATATCTCAAAGCGAAGGAACAAATACCTTCCTAGGCTTTCTTACATGGGGGTGGCAACGCTCGCTGGGTGAACAGAAGCAGCCTCCTGCCGGTCCCCCTGAAAGGGTGCGCGATGGGTCAGGGCACCCTCTGGTGTCGGAACGGCAACGTTTCACAGCGTTCGCTCCTGGTTTCCATCTGGAAAGTGCCATTTTGCCAAACCACCGGTCAGGTCTTGGAGGAGGAAAAGGGAAAGGAGGATCCAGTTCTTACAAAAATGTCAAGATGGAGTGGAGAAAGACGGAGCAAGTCTGGAAGGTGCTGCCTTAGGGGGGCACGAGACAGGCCACCAGCTCCAAAAATGACCGACAACGTAGGTTTCTGTGTAGGAAGGTGGCAGCTATTCCATCACAAATGGCAAAAGCCCAATGCATTTTAAAAAGTAGTTCTTAGAAGTTAAGGATCCGTGTCTCGGCAACATATGTTTGCTTGGAAATACGGGGATGTCTTAAAATTAGCTATATTGTGGTCCGAAAGATGGTGATGGAAGGAGGCCCATGGCTCTCTGGTCTCCTTAAATGCATTTCTTTAAAGGACAGTTCTGGATTGAACGTCAGGCTATGTCCCA